AAAAAAAAAGAAAGAAAGAAACAGCCAGAGGGGAGGGTGACTTAGGCCTTGCCCCCCTGGCCTGGCTGGGAAAGCATGGCCCCTTACAGGGGTCACTGAGAGAGAATAATCCTGGCCCAGTGTGAGCCAGGGGAAGTGAGCAGCTGAACCCTCGGTGGGGCTGGAGCAGTCACGGAAGCATCTGGAGGAACTAGGGCTGAAGCTGGGCCTTAAAGAGGGACATGAATTGGCTTGACCTTCTTGGCCTGGGCCCAGGGCCACAGGCTGAATGCAGAGTAGGAGGGCTGGGTCTTAGGAGCTCTCCAAGGTCCCCCACCTGCATAAAGGGTAAGGAGGGAATCGCATTCTGCTGTCCATGGTGCTGAATATTTCGGTCCTGCACAATGACCTCATTCCTTCAGTAAATATTGCTTCTGGCCCTTCCCGCCTCCCTGCCAGAACCTTCTCGCCCTCACTTCTTGTCATTTTCTTTCCAGATATCTAATGACCACATTGCTGCCCCACAGTCCCACTCTCTCCCCATGCCCAACCTGTCTCCTGCACTCTTTCCCCTATAGCTACCACCAGAAATGGTCCCTCATGGTCCCCGTCTCCCATAACTTGCCAATTAGACTATCAGAGACAGAAGTGCCAACGTAGGGAGCACTTGAAAGTGATGTAGGGATGTTTGGGGTTGTCACAATGGCTCGAGGGTACTGCTGGTATTTAGCAGGTTGAAAAGTCGCGTACATGGCCAGCCCTGTGGCATAGCGGTTAAGTGCGCGTGCTCCACTGCTGGTGGCCTGGGTTCGGATCCTGGGAGCGCACCAACGCACTGCTTGTCAGGCCATGCTGTGGCGGCATCCCACATAAAGTGGAGGAAGATGGGCACGGATGTTAGCTCAGGGCAAGTCTTCCTCATCACAAAGAGGAGGATTGGCATGGATGTTAGCTCAGGGCTGATCTTCCTCACTCACACACACACACACACACACAAAAGTCCCATACGAAAAATAATTGACCCCCCTGAGATGCCAGTAGCATCATTGAGAAACAATTTACATTACTTTCTATGAGAGGAGAAACTGAGACCCAAAGGGAAGGGACTTAGCCAAGGTCACTTAGCTAGCAGAGACAAAACTACAGCTAGAATATAGGCCTCCAACTTCTCTCAGCTGGGCTTTTGGACCACTCAGGTGACTGCCTGAACCAGGAACTCTTATCAAAGTGTCAGCATCTGTAAGGGGGGAGCCCACTGTAATGGGTGCTTTCAACAGGCCAGGGCCACTCTGGAGGCAGAGTCCTGGAAAACTGCTAGGGATAGGGTTCAGGCCTCCCAGGCCACAGAGCCCTGGAAGAGAAGATCCTGCCTGCATCATCCAGACCCCAGTGCCCCTGGCAGGCCACCCCACATACCATCGACTCGATCTTCAGCAGGCGCATCTGTGTTGCTGTGGTAACAGGCACCCACCTGTCTGCATCCATCTCCAACATTCTGGCCCAGCCACCTGCCCTCAGACTTTCCGTGCCCATCCTCCCATGGTTCCCCAGGGGGAACTTTTCCTGTATTACCCTCTCCTGTCCAAAGCTGTGCCTGAAGCCTCAGTGTCCTCATTAGCCAGCTCCCCCAGAGAGCTAGGAACACCTGTCTTTCAGTCCCCTGGCACCCAGTGTCTGTAGCCAGAACCTCATCCCAGGTGTGGGGGGGCCTCCATAGGGACACCCCCTCCCACCACTACATCCTACATCTCAGACCCTGCTTTCCAAGGTTTCGAAAGATCTGAGTCAAATTGATTCAGCCCATGTGTACTCGACAGCTCACTCCTGAGGGGGGAGCTGGTGACTCCAATATGATCTCTGCCTGCTTGTCTGTACTCAGGGAGCTCAAGTTCAGTAGCAAAGAAAAGAAAGGTCAAGTCCAAAGAGAGGAAGTCCATAGAGAATTATGGCAAATGCTCTAAAAGGGATTTTTGTTTTGCAAACTATGGATTATAGCACAATAGTGGATTGTGAAGTCAGTTTAGTGGGTCATGAGCGGCATTTGTGTATAAAATAAATAGAATTCATTAGAATAGAATAGAAAGAAAAATATTATAGCTGTGGTCAAGGTAAATTTCACTTTGTGAAACTGGATTCAGTCATGTGTGTGTACTGGATTGTGATAAGAAATGGATACGTTGCTGCGGTTCAAGGGCAATAGAGTGTGAAGGCCTATGCTCAAGAGACGAGACGACGTAGAGGAGGTGTTTAGAGGAAAAAAGAAAGAGACTGCTTAATACCTCGGGTGTTGGGGAAGCCGCCAGGAGGAGGTGGCGTATGATCTGGAGTTTAAAAGCTAGGTAGAGGATCAGCCTGGTGGCTTAGTGGTTAAGTTCGCATACTCTGCTTCGGCGGCCCAGGGTCCGCGGGTTCAGATCCTGGGTGCAGACCTACACACTGCTCATCAAGCCATGCTGTGGTGGCTTCCCATATACAAAATAGAGGAAGATTGGCATAGATGTTAGCTCAGAGACAATCTTCCTCACCAAAAAAAAAAAAAAAAGATAGCTAGGAGTTTGTCAGTGAGCAGTGGGGCAGAGTGAGGAAGATGTTTCAAGAGGTGGTTCAGCATAGAGCTGGGTATGTGCCAGGCCTGCTAATGCAAATGTCAGTTGCCGTGCAGAGTGGTGGAGATGGGCCAGGAAAGTTAGGCTGGGGCACGAGTGTCGAGGGCCTTGAATACCACACCAAGAAAGTTGGACTTTATTCCCAAGAGCAATAAAAAGCCACTGATGGCTTTTAAGCAGCAATCAACATGATCACTCTGTCAGTCAGAGTAAAAGATAGAGAGAATTGAGGGGGCAAGAGAAGAGGCAGGGAGGCAAGATAGGAGGCTGACTAGAGAGAGGGCGGAGGGATGGGCAGGAGCAGGGTGGACTCCGGAAAAAGAAAGAGGAGACAGAATCCACAGGACTTGGTACGCCAGGGCATTGATTTAAGGGACCAGAAAGGTCTCAGATTTGCAGCATCTCTATCCTGACTCCCTCCCATTTGCAAACCCACCACAAAATATCATATTTGGGAAATGACCGTTCTGAGGCCCTGTCCTTGGGGAGCCCCGCACTGATCGGAGACCAGACTCACACACCTGAACAACTCAGGCCAAGTCATGAGCAAGGGCTGGAGTGTGGGGCTCAGGCTGTCAGGACATCAGGCCAGTGGTGGGAGAGGGACTCAGGAGAAAGAAATTGGTGAGATGGGAGCAATCAAGGAGGCCTTCCTGGAGGAAGGGGCTTAGCACTGAACTTCAGGAAAGCTAGATAACATCTACAAACACATCCCCAGAAGATCAATTTTTCTGCCCTTTGAACCACAGCCAGGATCAAGATCTGTCTCACCTCACACAGGCCTGTTGAGAGGGACTCTAAACCCCCATCAGGAAGGGATTGTTCATTTTACAAAAGGACCCACCCTCCCAAGATACCTTTGCGTGGGTCCTTTTGGCTTCACCCCACTCTGTCCTTTAGTTCAGTAACATCACTGACCCTGTGCATCAAATTCTATTAACACACAATCTTTCCTTGTAAAACAACCCCGAGGAGGGAGAAAACCCTAGTGGGGAATTGGGTGCTATAGTCAGGGGTGAAGAGCCTGTGTCCTCACTTTGGGGTCAGAATCAGTGTCAGACCATCATTGTCCTGGTTGACTCACACCCAGGCCCCTGCTGACAGGCTGGGGAGGCAGGAACAGGACTGTAACAACCCTGAATTTGAAAAATCTATGAGCTCAGAGCACCAAATTAAAAAACAATTAAGCTAATAGAATCTCCCCCATTGTTTCTGCTCTTCGGCAAGTGCTCCTTAATAATTCGATTGCTTTTAACTCACTGTCGGCTCAACGGAAGTGGGCTTTTTAAGTAACTTAATTATTTCAGAACTCACTGCTTCCCAAAACAATCTAAGGTTCCCCCTCCAGCTCTGTGAGCTATTTATTTTAATTAGCTTTAGATTGTGTATCTAACATAACTCAAAAGAAAAATCCACAAACAGCTGCCCATTAGCCAGCGAGCAGAACCCTGGTACAAATCACCCCCAACAATGGAGTGTTTAGAATTTGCAGTCAAGTTGGGAAAGTAAGATACAAACTAATGGTACCACGCAGAGCAGACTTTGATGTCAAGCTAGGATTTAAAGAAAGGTAGGTATGAGCATTCTTTGACCTTCGTACATTCCCCTTCAATAAAACCTACACTTCTGTACATCAGACATGGATGCTCGGAACCGTCTCTTCACACATCACATTCCGACTTGAATACAAAGGCCAGTTCTCGAACATTTAGAGACATCACATGGTAGTCTCCCAGGCAGTCGCAGCTCCAGGTCAGCAGCATAGTCCTGGTTCCCCAAATTTCCCTCATTCCTATCTTACCACTGCTCAGTAGCCTAGGGGCTAAGAACATAAAACCTGAAGCCAGGTCTTGTATCTTTGGCAAGCAGCTTAATCTCTTCGTGCCTCGGTTTCCTCCTCTGTAAAATGGGTTGATATCAGTACCTACTTCACGGGGTTACTGTGAGGATGGGATGGACGAGCATATATAAAGCAGTTAGAGGAGGATCTGGTATGCAGAAAACCCCTGCTATGTAAATGGGAGCTTTTATTAAAATGGAAGTGCTGACACTGGTGGGAAGAAGTATGGATCTCATAAGCGTAAAGTGATTGAGATGAGGATGGAAATTATTTGGAGTGCTGAGAACAGTGAATCTTCAGTCACAACCCAGGGCTCACACTTGGGTTTGGTTTCAAACAAAATTAAAGAAAGTATATGAAATGCTGGTCAAAGATTGTATCAAAAATGGGTTTTATCCTGCCTTTTAGTAACCATGTGTGGTAAGCCTTTTGTGCAATTTTCACATGAACTTGCAGACATGCGTTGTGTTTCCTGGCCTAGAGAGGCTGAGAAGTATGGGCCTTATCCTGTGGGCACCCAGGAACCAGGGAGTGTTCTTGAGGAGGGGAGTAACCTGCCTCTTGGTCTTTTGTAGGGAATGCCTACAGAGAGTGCTTGGAGAATGGGACGTGGGCCTCACGGATCAACTACTCACAGTGTGAGCCCATTTTTGATGACAAGGTGAGTGGCCCCCGCCTGATCTGACCCTGATCCTTGTACAGGTATTAGGACTCAGGTTGAGCACAGAGGACCCCAAGGGGGGCAGAACCAGTCTTTGTGCAGCCCAACCACTCCTTTTTGCACCTCTTGCCCCTGCCCCCACCTCCTGTCCTGTGCTCAGTGACACTGTGGTGGGTAGAGAAGGGCGACATGGAGCCCCGCCTTTGGGAGAGCTCGGGCTGGCAGAGGATGCAACCAGGATGGCACGTGCCACAAGAAGAGCGTACCATACAACCAGTGCCCTCACATCTAACAGGCTGGGTGACGTCCTTCCTCCTCTGGGCCTCAGTTTCTCCATCTGGGATTCTGATTCTGTGACTCCACGTGGAAACAAGTGCAGCCCCCAGAAGCGCAGTTCCCACGGGAAGCTGAGTCCCCGCTCAGACCTCACCAGCCCCCCTTGCTCAGGAACTGGATTCCATGCTGCCTGCCTCCCCCCGAAGTGAAGCTACACCGCATTCCTGACCCACAGTGATACGTCCCACTTCCATCCCCCTCCTCATTCACCCGTTACAGCCCCAGCGGGGCTGGAGCATTTCCCCAAAAGAAGTCCAAGTCCAGGGGAAAAACATTTGTCTACTCTGAGAAAGTGATGCTACAAAATGTGAGCCAAAGAGGGTCTGCACTGAGGGCCGCAGGAGTGGCAAGTGGGCCGGCCCCCTCCCGTCCTCTGTCCCCACCTCTCCATCTTTCAGCCCCTCTGAGTGGTGGCAAAGCAAAGTGGGTGCCGGGTGGAGTGGGGGGATAGTCAGCCCTGGCAGGAAGCAGTGTCACTGCCTCTGTTTAGAATTGCCAGCACATGGGGATGACAAAAAGCAGACTGGCTTTCAGTTGGTTTTATACTGTTCTTAAACTCTCCCCCTTGTTGCTGCACCCAGGGCAGAGTGAGCCCAAGGCGCCCCCCACCCGGACCTCTCATAGTCGCTGCTTCAGGGGCAGGAGGGCAGGTTGGCTCCATTATACAGATGTCAAAACTGAGGCCCAGAGATACAAATCAACTCACCCCCAGTTGCTCAGCCAGCCAGGATCTGAGCTAAAACTAAAGATGGGTGTGGCAACTCCAGAATTAAAAAGAAAAGAAAATCTACGTACCAGCACCTCTAGCATATCTCAGAATGCACAGTGTCCAGAGCTGCCCCAAAGCTGCATGTTGGGAGGCCTGACCACGGCCATTTGTACCAAGAGCCACTCAGGGCCGATAGGAGTGAGCTCTAGGGACCAGGCATGGCGATGACACCAGGAGCCACTTCTGCCCCACGTCAGGACACGACATGGCTGTCACTAGGGTGCCCAGCCCTGCCCTCCACATGCCCCATGCCTCCGTCTGCCCTGTGTCTGTCTGTCTGTCCAGCAGAGGAAGTATGACCTGCACTACCGTGTCGCTCTCGTTGTCAACTACCTGGGCCACTGCGTTTCTGTGGCGGCCCTTGTGGCCGCCTTCCTGCTTTTCCTGGCCCTGCGGTGAGTCCATCCTGCCCCCCGCTTTTTCCCTGCCCCTCCTCCCATAGCGCCCCCTTCACCTCTCCCAGACATGTCACCCTCACTGCAGGGGCCCTGGAGCCAGTGGACAAACGGGGTTTGGGGAGGAGCCAGGGCACTGACCGCTGGCAGACATGCAGCGTGCAGACGGGGAGCTGGCTTTAAGAGACCCAACCAGGGCCACCATGAGTGGGCGTGTGGCTCCTGGTGCAGCCCTGCCCTCACCCCAGGCTGAGTCTCTACCTGGCCTCAGGGGGGCCCCCATCCCAGCTGACCCCTGACCCCAGCTGACCCCTGATCCCAGCCCCAACCGAGTTCTGACCCCAGGTGGAGCCTGTCCCAGCTGAGCGCTGATCCTGTCTGACCCCTGACCTGGGCCTCCCACAGGAGCATCCGCTGTCTGCGGAACGTGATTCACTGGAACCTCATCACCACCTTTATCCTGCGAAATGTCATGTGGTTCCTGCTGCAGCTCATCGACCACGAAGTGCATGAGAGCAACGAGGTCGCTGGGCGGAGGCTTGGGGCTGGGCCTGGGGGGCTCCGGGCTCTGGGGACACCCGCCTTTCTTTCCTAATCCTCAGGTGCAGACCCGGACCTGAGCTCACCTCCACCCCAGTCATTGTCCCTCCAGAGCTGGGGCCAGAGGGTCAGGGGGTTGCTGCCAGGCCAGGGTCTTGGAGCAGCACCAACCTGACATCAGACTTTGGTTTATCCCATTCCACCCCCTGTCTCGTGAATTCAGAACCTCCCAAAGACCCCTGAGAGGAAGGGAGGCTGGAATTAACCTCTGTTGAGCTTTATCTCACTTAAATTCCATTGACAGACCTGTAGGGATTATTTTCCACATTATACAGACATGGAAACTGAGGCTCAGAGAGGTCAGGAGACACTGTAATGATGGCTCTACGTCGAGGCCAGCAAGGTCTTGTGCAGGCCATCCCACGTGTTGGCTGCCCACCCCAGGCTTGTGTCAACTGCTGTTGTACTGTGTCCAAGTCATTGTAAAACCGGAGACTAGAATGGGGCAAGCAGAGTTCTTTGGCACGCCATTAGAGACTTCTCAGTACATTCTCTTTGGAGGGCTGGACGTGAGCAGACACCCAGCCTGGTGCGACCCCTAACTTGGCCCCACATAAAGCCCTGCTCCAGCACCAACTGCGATCAATCCAATCTTGGATGCCCTGCAGCCCACTATTGGCTTGTACTGATAAGATGTCACTTAACCTGGAGAACAAGCAGAGTTGGGAGAGGGGCTCTTTAGCTTCCCACCTCAGCAGGACTTGCCCAGAACAGAGGAGACAGATAGCCACATGCAGTCCAAGATCAGGACTGGGACCGTGGGGGAAAGCCACGGAGGCAGCGACCAGCTCAGCACGGGGTGATTATCTGACAGCCAGGGCTGTCACAGCCGGACAGAGAGGGGTTGGGCTGTGCATGGGAGCAGAGAGCTCCCCATTGCAGGGCTCCACTAGCCACCACTCCCTACATCCCAATCTCAGCCCTGAGGATGCCAGGGACGAATCCCTGGGAAAGATGGCCAGATAGGGTCTGTTGAGAAGAGCTCTGGCCTGGAGGCCCGAGACCTGGCTGTGGCTCACTATGGCTCTGGGCAGGCTTTTCCTCTGCCCGCACCCTGTCTTGCCTCTGCAAGGTACTTGGGAGGGTAGCCCTGCTCAGAGGGACAGGGACCAATTCCCCTCTGCTGGGAAGGCAAATGGCAACAACACTCGTTTCTTGGTGCCTGCCTTTGCCATCCTTCATCTCCTTTAACCACTCTGTAAGACGGCATCATTATTTTCTCCATGTCACAGTGACGTTCAGAGAGGTACAGCCACTTGCCAGAGGCCCCAGAGTTGGCAAGTCTCCCTCCAGAGCTGGCAGTGATCATACTAAAACCAGAATCTCCCAAACCAGATATTTTGGAGCGTCTCCTCCGTGGCTTAAGTTCACCTGCATAGGCCATGTACTGTTATTCATATAACGATTTTCTTTTGATTGACTCACAACTTTTTTTCTACATGAAATTTCATATTCCATCCCTAAGTGGAAACCAGCCCGACTTGCTGTGGATTGAATGTGACCCACAAAAAAATGACAATGAAAACACAACAGTGTTGTTCAATTCTAGCCTCTTTTGCAGAAAGCTCGGAGCCAGACTCCTCTTTCTTTATTAAAAAAGGAGATTAGAAAGCTCTGGGGAGAAGTCAAAGACACATTAGCACCAGCGAGACTGGCGCTTTAACTTCATCCGGAAAAGAGAAGGGGCAATGACGAAGGATGAATTCCCAGAATGAAATTCGGGGGTATTTAATGCTATGTCCCTGACCTAAAATGACCTTCCCTTCGTGGGCGCCCATGCCGCACCCTTGGGCCCTGGCCCCAGGCAGCCCCTGACCACCGCCTGCCCCATGCAGGTCTGGTGCCGCTGCATCACCACCATCTTCAACTACTTCGTGGTGACCAACTTCTTCTGGATGTTCGTCGAGGGCTGCTACCTGCACACGGCCATCGTCATGACCTACTCCACCGAGTGTCTGCGGAAGTGGCTCTTCCTCTTCATCGGATGGTGTGAGCATCCCGGGGGCCAGCAGGGCCTAGCGGGGAGGGGGCACTGCTGACAAGGTCACCTCCCTTCATCTTGGGTCCAGGGATGGGACCACAGCCCTGCCAACCATCCTCAGGACAGTTCGAGGATGCAGTCACTCCCCTCCATGCTGGCAAGGAAGAAGCAAATGGTTCCTTCAAAAGAACATTCCATAGATAGCCCTCCTCTCCTTGCCTGGAACGGCCAAGCCAAAGACCTTTGTCTGACTTCAAGAGAGAAGCTGGCCAGCTCCACTTCTGTCAAAAAATCTCAGAAAATCACGTGGTCCCCTCATCTCTGACCTGCTTGGAGGGGATGGCTGAGAGTGGGGGAAGGATGGGGGTGAGGTCTAGGGACAAGGCCCCCGGGGTCGTGGATGGCCTACAGTTGGGCGACTGGATACATGATCCCAGACCCTTGTGGTCCTCCCACCTGTGTTCTACAGGAGGGTCCCCTGTCCATCTGTCTGGCCGCTGCAGCCTTGTCTGTCCTCCTTTCAGGCATCCCCTGCCCCATCATCATCGCCTGGGCTGTTGGGAAACTCTACTATGAGAACGAACAGTAAGTAGAACAGGCCAGCCACGGGGGTCAGAGGGATGTGAGGACAGGTCAGCCATGGAGTCCAGCCAAGCCATGGGGCAGGAATTGCAGCCATGCCAGGATGGATTCACTTTCCCATTGTTCTTTTTTTTTTTTTTGTGAGGAAGATCAGCCCTGAGCTAACATCCATGCTAATCCTCCTCTTTTTGCTGAGGAAGACCGGCTCTGAGCTAACATCTATTACCAATCCTCCTCCTTTTTTTTCCCCCCCCCAAAGCCCCAGTAGATAGTTGTATGTCATAGTTGCACATCCTTCTAGTTGCTGTATGTGGGACGCGGCCTCAGCATGGCTGGAGAAGCGGTGTGTCGGTGCACACCCGGGATCCGAACCTGGGCCGCCAGTAGCAGAGCGCGCGCACTTAACCGCTAAGCCACAGGGCCGGCCCTCCCATTGTTCTTAAATTGAAAAAATATCCCGGCACCCGGAGGTCCTCAAGTGGTAGGTGTCAAGTCAACTTTGTTGAATTGAGTTAGCAATCGTGGTTCCTGTACGGGCCCCAGTGCATGACGCCTTTGGCCTTTGGTAAGGCTTCCTCCTCGGAGTTGAATGGGGCAGGTCTGGCCCAGGGACCAAGGGCTGGAGGCTTTCACAGACCCCTGGGCGGGGGCAGTGAGCATTTGTCTTATTCCAGCATCCCAGTCTCTGCCTAAGGTGCAGTGTCCCACCCTGGGACCCTCCCTGTACCAGAGACGTTGATACACTAAGCTGCAGCCCAGATGATGGCAACTCTGGCCACAGGCCAGCCAAGGAGCAGCTGGGAAGCCGGGCGCCACCAGCTGAGACAAGGGAATAGGAGAACGTCAGTCTCAGTATACAGATCTCCAAGGAGTTGCCAAGGCTGGAGAGAGCAGAGGCAACTTGGGAGCGGGGGCAGGAAGGGCTGGGTTCTAGGAGCTCAATATTAGGAAGAGCTCCTAACGATAAAAGCTGCCCAAGAATAAGAGGGCTGCCCTGGGAGGTAGTGAGCTTCCTGTCGAAGGGGGTGTTCAAGCAAAGACCAGAAACCTCAGTGCTGGGAGGCAGCAAGGGAGATCCTATTTGAGGCACTGTGCACTGGATGACCTCTGAGGTTGCGGAGGACACAGTCCTCCGAAGTCCATATGGCCCTTCTCGAGGTCCAGTCGGAGTTGCTGGCAGAGCCGGACCAGGTCCTGGCCCAGCCTTTCCCCGGACCCTGAAGTTTCTCCTCCTTCAGAGGATAATGAAGCCTCTGGTAGCAGCAGGCCCCCTTCACTGGGTGAACGAGGCTCAGCTTGGAGACAGGCCGGGGTTCAAGGTGGGATAAGGCTGCACATCTGCTGCTTGTGTGGCTAAGTGCCTGGCGCGTGGAGCGGCGAGTTCTGACCGAGGCGGGTACAGGTGGTACAGGGCGATTGGGCCCTGGGCCAGCCAGGGGGAGCCCGGCTCTCCTTTCATTCATGAGCCTCCTGCACGCCCAGCCCTGGGCCCAGCAGTCTGAGATGGGGTGAGTGAGTGAGGAGAAGGAGGAGACCCCAGTCTCCTTGCCCTAAGTCCAGCTGGGGAGACCAGACCCTCAATGCAGGGCAAAAGGCAGCCCAGGGGTGAGCAGGGTGGTCAGTGGGGCTGGGGGCTGTAGGGAACCCCAGCTTTTCAGGAAGGTGCAGCCCTGGAGATGGGGTCTCAGGAAGGGTCAAGCTGGAGGACCCTGGGCCCCAGTCCACAGTGGTCCCCAGGCCACTCAGCAGGCCACTTACAACCACTCCATCTTTGCAGGTGCTGGTTTGGCAAGGAGCCCGGTGATCTGGTGGACTACATCTACCAGGGCCCCATCATCCTTGTGCTCCTGGTAGGTCCTCAGTGGGGACTGAGACAGGGCTGGGCACCAGAGGAACAGCAGAGACGCTGGGGAAGGATGTGGCCTGGAGCAGCCCCCCAAGCACACTCTGTACACACCACCCCCCTACCCGGCACCCCCCCCCCAGCTCTCTCTCACCCACACTCCATGCCCAGGTGCAGCCCCCTCCCCTCTCTGGACCTCGAGTTCTTTCTCTGGGCAGAGAATGGGCTTGACTGGCAGACTTCTAGTGCCTCCCACATCTGAGTCCCCTTGCCAGGTACAATGCCAAGACAGCCAGGCGACGGGGCAGCTGGTGGCAAGAGAAGGGTGTGCGGGCTTCTGTTCAGCCCTGACCTACATCCCCCTCCGCCCCCAGGAACCCCGTCTGGGGCCCCGCCCACCGCCCCCTGCCTGGAACAGTGGTGCCAGAATGAAGCCTAATGAGCAATTGTTCCTGTCCAGCCCCCTGCCTTTGCCAAATGTATTCACATCTAAGGCATAATTGCTGCCACGTCTTTAATCCACAACGAGCTTTAATTAAGGTAGAGTTTCAGTAGAGGCTGCATTCTGCAAAAACGAATCCATTATATATCATACATTTAAAAAAAGAGATGTACAAAAGAGCCCCGTAAGAAATTGGCATTTACGTAAGACTTATTTCAGGCTCGGTAATTTCAGGCTCCTGTATGTACCAGCTTCCTTAAAGGGCCACCTGCCCCTTGTGGGAAACAGAGGGCTCATCCTCCTCTTGCACACAGCAGGCAGCCACTCTTTATCTCTTTTATTTCCTGACTGTCGTCCTTTTTGTGACTTCTTCTGGGATTCGTTTGACCCCCATCTTTGGAGTGTCCTTGATGACTAGGAAGGTTTTTCACCCACTGCCTGAAATTCCACCATCAGGGCTCCATTCATGTCAGAGGCAGAAGCCGATCCTTGCCAGCAGTCAGTGGGGGAAGGGTTGTCCTTGGAGTCACAGCTGCAGTGAGTCACTCACCCCCCAGTGTGAACAGAAGTTTCCATAAGACCCCTCCCCTCCTGGCTAGCTGCCAAGAGCCCATCCTGGAGGGATAGGGCTTTTTTGTGTGTGTGTGAGGAAGATTAGCCCTGAGCTAACATCTGTTGCCAATCCTACTCTTTTTGCTGAGGAAGACTGGCCTGGGCTAACATCCGTGCCCATCTTGCTCCACTTTATATGTGGGACGCCTGCCACAGCATGGCTTGATAAGCAATGCATAGGTCTGCACCCGGGATCTGAGCCTGCGAACCCCAGGCTGCTGAAGCGGAGTGCACGAACTTAAGCGCTACGCCACTGGGCCGGCCTCAGGATAGGGCTTTTGGTAAGCCTGGAACCCCGCCAAGGAAGATGGCCTAGCCTGGATGGGGAATGAACCATAGTGGGGAGCGAGCCCCCCTGCAAGGATATTGGATGGAAGTGAGGAAATGAACAGAGAAAGGGAGACAGGCGTGGAGGGCTCAGTGTAGAGACCGGACTCCTGGCCCCTCTCCATGCCCCTTCTCTGGTTCCACCCTCACCCCTTGGCCCAAGAGCCCTTTGCGTGTCTTTCCCTTTGGGCCCAGCCCACCCGCAGCTGTTTGCACTGCCAGGGCTTCCACATTCCAAGCTGAGCCCTTCCAGAAGCTCTGTCTTCATTACTTCCAATCCTCCTATCCTCGATGCCTGGAAGTAGGGATTGTGCTCCCCATTTTACAGGTGAAGAAACTGAGAGAGACGAATGGCCTGCCCAAGGCCACCACTCATAGCTAACTGAGCTGAGACTCAGGGGCGGGTCACCCACCACCTGCCTGCCGTCCTCTCGGGGCCACCCCTGCCCTCCCCAGCAGTTTATAGCTGCATTTCTGCTGCTGAGACACACGCTTATTTCTGGGTTCCAGGAAGTGAGTTGTCTGATTGAGTTTGCAGGAGACCATTGTCACTGCTGTTGTCACAGGAAAGGCGTGTGGCATTTGTTGGGCCTTGCTCTGGGCCAGGCCTGGGGCAGAGTGCTCTACAGGAGTATTTTAACCTGTGCCGACCTTCCACGCCCGGCTCTGTGGCTATCTCCGTTGGGTGGGTGAGGATGCAGAAGCTCAGAGAGGTTAATTAAGCAACTTGCCCAAGGCTACATGAATGCCAATTGGAATAGCCAGTTAGAGGCATGTGACAAGGATTTGGTGCCAGGCGCCTTTGGGAGGTGGTCCCAGGAAGCACAGCAAGGGATGGGAGGAGAAGACAAGGAAGGGGGGAAACCAACAAAGGGTGAGGTGATGAGCAGGCTACCAGGGGGCCACCATGTTGAAGAGTCATCTCAGAATTGCCCCCGAGGGTCGGGAAGCTGGGTTACTTATTCACAGACTTCATGCCTCATCAGTGGAGGTTGCCCTTGGGACGTTAAATTCCCACATTTCCAGACGCCCCTGTTTTCAGGCTGAGCTAGCTCCCCTGGCACCAGAGAAAGCCTCAGGCTGGGAACTGTCCCCAGCAGCTACAAGTACAGGGGCCCAGGGGACCCAGGCTGGGCACCTACAGTGTGTGGCACGTCAGGTCTGTTGGGCTAAAGCCTTGGCTCTTCATACTACGAGGGTGTCTCCTCGCTCATTGCTCCTCCCAGCAACACCCCAGCTGCCCTGTTCCTAATGCAGATTCCAGGGCCCCCGCCTGCCACTGGGAATGTCTGGAGTGGGCCCAAGATCTGCATTTGGAACAAGCACCTCCGGTGCCCTTGATGCACACACTCTGGTTGGAGACTCATGGTGTCCTGGCCCTGCGGGAGGGCTGTGTGTCTGGCCTTTCTCCATGGCTCGCAGTAGGGCTCCGGACTTGGGCCTTTGAGACTTCACCTACCTCAAAAATGCCCACAGGCGGAGAAAACTGAGGTGTCCAGTGAGGACCAGGCTGCTGGGGCCATGAAACAGACTGGTCACCAGGCTGCTGGGGGCACCCTCAGTTCCATCTTGTGGGGCTCCCTGGTGACAAGTCACCAGGCTCCACAGACCCAGGTGGGACAGACTGGCTGGCCGTGTTGCTTGACCTGGTGAGTGTGCTGTACAAGAAGCTGAGAGCTGGAGAGAGGTGACAAGAGGGACCTGAGATGTAATGGCAGCACCCCAATAAACCCCTTCAATACCCAGGACTGGAGGGGAGCAGAGGGCATCCCCAAGGGCTGGGCCCTCCTCCCTGCCTGCCTGCCTGCCTGCCTCTGCGCACGTGCAGACAGCGAAGGGGCTCCCGTGAGCACCGTGACTTAGCAGGTGCCCTCCCCTTGCAGGGCTTGGGGAGGCAAATGGTGCTCCTCGAGCACTGGAGGTTAAGAACCAGCGAGCAGGGCTGTCTCTTTTCTCTGCCTGGTCGGGGTATGGGCTGTGTGGAGTCGTGCAACAAGCAGTAGCTGGAGCCACGTGGGGTCTGTGGTGTGATCCTGAGGGAGCCCTTTGCCCTCTTGGAGCCTCAGTTTCCCACCTATAACAGGAGGATGCCAGTCCCTGCTTCACGGGGTCACTGTGAGGACTAGTGGCTTGGGACACATGCTGGTGGCCCTGGGGCTCTGCCCCCAGCAGTTCCTCCAACACCTGGAGCCACAGGTTGGGATCCTGAGCTGCTGGGCCTTGCAGTGCTCTCCTGAGCTGCCATCACCCGCCCCTGGCAGTGTGAACAGTGCCTTCCCTCTGGCTCCGTCCATCTGGCCCACGTTTCATTAACCCCTGCAGGAGCAGCAGTGTGATGTAGGGGTTAGAAGAAGGATGCTGAGGCCGGCTGCCTCTGTTGGAATCTGACGCCAGCGCCTGCTACCTCAGTGGCATGGGCAAGTGATGTAGCCTATTTGAACCTCAGCTTGTGTATCTGTAAATGGGGATAAAGCTGCCGCTTGAGGAATAGTCATGAAGTACTTGGAACAAAACCTGGAATGATCCACATTAGGGAGCAGTGGGCCTCCCTTGTCTGTCGTGGAGCAGCTGTAATGTCCAGACCCCCAGTCAAAAGATCGCAAGGTGACCTGATGCCCACCACCACCTGCCAGGACCGAGCTGTGACCAGGCTGGGGCCCTGACCCCCACAGAACCTCATTAGGGGTAAAGATGGCTCCCCTGGGGAGCTAACATGCTGGTGGGGGCCTGAGCCACCAGCATCAGAGCACCGGGAAAGACGGGGCAGGATGATGCAAGGCTGGACTTCTCAGGGGCAGCTTCTCCAGGGCCTGGCCTTACCCTTTCACCCCACACCCTCGCCCCTCAGCGTTCCCAGAGCCCACCCCACGCAGGCTGCCCTAAGAACATTCTGGGCTGGGTGGGCCCTGCAGGGGTTGTTGTAGAAGGAGGTAGATGTCACTGTTTTGGCTCACCTCAGCCACACTGCCGCCAGCCGGCCTGTCTCCCCAACCCCAGGCTTCCTCCCCTGGCCTTTGCTCTGTTTGGAACACAATCCCCCCCACCTTCCTTCACTTCTCGGCCCACGTGCCATTTCTCTAGGCCTTTCTGACTCCTTAGGAAAGATGCAGTGCCCCCTCCCCCCAGACCACAAGCCTTCTACCTGCAGGAGCTGGGTCAGCCGTGTCTACTTCCCATCACTGGTGGCCGTCTCAGAGCCTGGCACCTGGCAAGTCAATTCACTGAATGAATGAATAAAACCAGAAACCAGGGTACAGTAGCCAGTGCTCACGGAAGAGCCAGAATTTTTTTGGAGTAGGTGGAGAGGGGAGTCCTAGAATGGAGAGCTCAGTGTGGGCTGGGGTGGTCGGCGGCTCCCTGGAGGAGGGAGGAAGGTGCTGTGGGGGGTGAGGCGGAGCAGGTGTTGTAAAGGGGGAGGCTGGGAACCACGCTTATAAGGAAAGAGTGACTTTCAGGCTGCACAGACCCAGGCTGAGATGGGGTGCGAGCATCACCAACTGCCTGCCCCTAGTTGGTGTTTACACCAACTAGTGCGAGGAGAGGGGATAAGGCCTTGTCTCCCAGACTCTCCACACTAGACCCTGTCCTGCTCTTGCCTCAGCACGTGGAACAGGGCCCTGTGGCCCGGAGGTGCTCAGCAACTGTTTATTGACTGGATGGATGGGTAGGTGGACGTGTGCATGTTACCCATTAAATAAATGGGTGAGTGTGTGGGTAGATAAATTGATGAATGGATGGTTGAGTAAATATTTGGATAGGTGGCTGGATGAATGGATGCATGGATAAGAGTGGGTAGATAATTGAATAAATTGGTTAGTGGGTTGATAGATGATGGATGAATAAGATTTAATGCAGGGAAATATGACAGAAATTAGAATATATTTTGATTCCAACAGCCTTTACTCTCAGAGAAGTCAGGAAGAATCAGAAAAGGTCAAGTATTTTGTATCAACTTGTATGAGAAAATTAGGATTGACCTACGTGTTAAGGTGACCTTGAGATCTAAGGGAATATACTAGAAACCAAGGAGCTAGAAATTAGATCAGCCTTAAGAGGCAAGTGTGCAGCAGGCCATGGGCAGCCCTGGCTGACGGCTTCCCACTCCACCCCTTACCCCGGGTTCACCAGGCTGTGCCACTGTGGGTGTGAGAGCAGCAGGCTGTGGCTGAGGAGTCTGAGCCCCCCAGGACCCCAGAGCATCCTCTAGCCTAGGGGTCATCCAGAGGCCACAGGGAAGTCTGTCCCTGTGATGTCTGCCTATGTCTTCCAACTTCTAGCCTGGGATCCAGAACTTAGGAGGGCTTAAGAAGCGATGGATTCTCAGGACTGAGACTTGGGAGGGGTGTGTGTGTGTGTGTGTGTGTGTGTGTGTGTGTGTACTCACACATGTGTACACACATGAGCCAGCAGACACCCCTGGGCTAATATGTATCTCACTCTGACCCATGGGCACTTTCTTGGGAGAGAGTCCCAGTGTGTCAGGCTGACACACATTCACTTTCTTGTCTGCTCACACTTGGAGATGGATGAAGAGAAACACGGGCATGCCCACGTCCCCAGATACACACTCACACGTGAACACACCCGCCGAGGCACACACACACAGCACTGAGAGCAGACCCACAGACGCAACCCAGAGCATTTCAAGGGCAGCACACAGCCACGCAGACAAGCTGACACAGATTAACAGGCGCCCAGAGACCACACATAGCACAAGGCTGGCTCAGGAGGCCACGCAGGCAGGTCTCAGGGAGAGACTGGGTGTAGTGGGCTCTGATGCTGAGAGACGGCTCAGAATGAAGACAAATCAGCTCCTTCCAGGAGCCTCAGAGTCAGTCCAGCAGCCCGTTCATCTTCATTGCCTCCGGGGTGTATGTGAAGTTTCTAGAGTTCTCCTGGACCCAGGGGATGGATGGTGAGAGATTAATCACTCTGTCAGCAACCGTTATTAATCACTCCATCCAGCCGGGTCTGTGCCATCGGGGCAGGGCTGTCCTCAGTCAGAAGGGCCTCAGGGAGACCCTTGATGACAAGTGGGGACCCTGTGGCACAGAGTGGAAGGGGCCCTGGCAGAGTCGTGGGCCCAGCTCCAGTGGCGTCTCTGAGCAGGGCTGGGGCTTGGGGACTCTCTGAGCACTCGTGTCCCAGGAGGAGTGGCCTCTGTGCTCTTGTTCACTGCCTCCCAGGCTGCTTTTCCTCCCTCCAGTCTGGGGGTGGAGAAGCAGGGCCTGTAGCCCCCAGGAGGGGAGCTGAGCAAATGGGGATGTCTCCTGTCCCGACAAGGGAGAAGCAGAGGCCTTGGGGCCCCAGGCAGGTGCCGGGGCGCCAGGTGGGACAGGCGTGTGCGTGGGACGCGGGTCTTCAGTGGGTTACCGGGGGAGGTGGCTGCCTCTGGGCTCATCCCCACCTCGTGGTCCTTCCTTTTTCCCTCTGCCTCCCTCCCTCCAGATCAACTTTGTATTTCTGTTCAACATCGTCAGGATCCTCATGACGAAATTACGAGCCTCCACCACGTCAGAGACGATCCAGTACAGGTGGGTGATGAGTGCCGTGAGCCCCAGCGGGGGACAAAGGGGGAGGCCGGGGCCATTCCCCTGCCTCCAGGGAGCTCGCTCAGGCTCCGGGAAGAACCAACATGAGTGAGGCCCGGCCTGCAGTCTGGGCTCAGGCCGTCTTGTCTCGCCCCCCAGGAAGGCAGTGAAGGCCACTCTGGTTCTCCTGCCCCTCCTGGGCATCACCTACATGCTCTTCTTCATCAACCCTGGGGAGGACGACCTGTCGCAGATCGTGTTCATCTATTTCAACTCCTTCCTGCAGTCTTTCCAGGTGGGGGCCGCGGTGAGCTTTCCTGACCTGGAATGCTCCGGTGCTCGTGCCCTCACAAAGACGGTCACACGGGACTGGCACACACGTGGTTCACTTATATACACACTAAATATAAGCAGATGCACACACTGAACCCCAGCCTGGTCCCCGTCACCCCATCCCCAGGGCCTGGGTGGGTCCACCCCCTGACAGGGTCTGGATCACCGTAGTCTGCACCTGCTGCTGGCCCAGCACCTGCTCTGAGGGTTCCTAGCAGCCTGTCACTCGCAGTGGGCCCCGGTACACCTGCACCATAAAGGGTGAGGCCCTAGCCAGCTCTGGCCCTCTGGGGTCCTGGGTCAGTGTGTTCCCCGGCGATCCTGTCCCTGCTCCACCCCTCCAGGTAGAGTGGCTCCCCAAGCAGGTCACTGACCCTTCTCCCTTCCTTTCCAGGGTTTCTTTGTGTCTGTCTTCTACTGCTTCTTCAATGGAGAGGTATGAGACCGGGCTCCGGGGAGGCCTGGGCTCGGAGGTCCTCAGACCCCTCTCTAGGGCTGTTCCAGTCAAGCTGCCCAGCCTTTCAGGAGTGCAGGGGTCCCTCTGTTCAGCTCTGCCCTGCAGGAGGGAGGGGAAGGCTGGAGAAACCACTCAGGGGGCACAGGAATCCTGCCTGAGGGACTCGAGCCAGTTTAGGTCAGTATGCAGGCCAGAAACAATATGTCATCACTCCACAAACGGCGCTCGGTGATCTGGGTGAGCAGGGGAGCCCAGGCTGCAGGGTCTCACAGAAGAGAGAAGCCAGAACAGAGGTGGTGAGAGGAGAAAGCTTCCAGGAGCAAGTCAGGTGTGAGCCATGCCTCCAGGCCTTTATGGACCCAGGGAGCGGAAAAGATACCAGCACATTCCCCCCGATGCCAAGAAGACCACACACCTCTGGGTGGGCTCTAGGTGAGGCCCTGGGTGCAGCCTGTTGGCTCAGAATCCCAGCGGCTGACTCGGGAGAGATGCTCACGCAGGCCTGCGGTGGGTGAAGACACACAGTGGGTTCTGGAGCAAAGAGCAGACACAGCCCCCAGGGCCAGAGAGCTTCCAGACACTCAAGAGGAATGCGAAGCCTGGACAAGGCCGCTTCACTTGCCTGTGCAGAGCGCCATGGTGGGGTATCTCTGCAAGCCTGGGGCTCTGTCAGTCAAAGCAGACCTCCGATGGGAAAGCCCAGCAGAGGAGGCTGGCCTGGGCTCGAGGGCAGGGAGAGAAGGAGCCACTTCTCCTTCAAAGCACACAATGGACGCTCACGGAGCATTAATTCTGTTCAACCATATGCTAGGCTAGCATGTGGGAGACATGATCATTTTACAGAAAAATTCTTCTATTACAATGCAAATGAGAATAAAATGGCACCAGCGACCATCAGGCTTTGAAACGACTAGAACTGTTAGCTTTCTGTCTGGCAGTGCGTGTTATGGTAAGCGAGGCAGGGTCGCTAGGGAGGTGGAGGTCAGGGCTGCGGAGGAGGTGAGAGGAGGGTCCTTCAGGAGGGAGGAGGATGCCAGCCAAGAGTGGAGCACAGATTTCAGCAGGTGCCCGGGAGAGCACAAGGGGCGGATTCGCGAAGCCGGGTCCTCTGGTCCCGCCATGGCAGATGTGAGGTGGCAGAGCAAGGTGGGAGGGGAAGGCAATGAGTCCAAAGGAAGCATGCAGTGGAGCTTCTCCGAGGGAGGGGCCCTGAAGAGGCTGCAGAGGAGGCCTGAGCTTCAAGGTCCAGCAGCGTCAGGGGAAGGACCTGCTTTTGGAACCAGCCAGTCCCTGGGTGTGACGGTGGCAGTTGAGAGGGACACCCCAGTCTCCCTTGATGGCCCTGCCAGGGTTGGGGAGCAAGAGAGAGCTGTCCCGGACCCCAGGATTGGCCCCCGCAGGCCCAGCTGAGCCTCTGCCTCTCCCACAGGTGCGTTCGGCCGTGAGGAAGAGGTGGCACCGCTGGCAGGACCATCACTCCCTCCGAGTCCCTGTGGCCCGGGCCATGTCCATCCCCACGTCGCCCACGCGGATCAGCTTCCACAGCATCAAGCAGACGGCTGCTGTATGACCCCTCAGTCGCCCACCTCACCCATCGCTCCATCGGGACAGCTTCCCCATCCTCCTTCACTGCCTTGCTCTGGGTTCTCCTTGCCACGCAGGCCCTGGTGGGGGCAGGAGGGAAGAGAGAGACCGGCTCCCCAGCCTGGCAGGAGAGAGGCTGTGCAGCAGCGCGAGGCGACGCCAAGGAACCAGGGCCAGCTGAGCCCAAAGTCTCAGTGCGAGAGGGGGCAGAGAGCTAGATCCTCACTGTAGCCCCATTCACAGATGAGGAAACTGAGGCCCAGAGCCAGGAAGGGTCAGCCCAAGTCACACAGCTAGTTCGTGGTGGACCCGGGGCTCCTCTGCCCCACTCACCATGTGGGCCTTCCTGCCAGCAACAGGGTCACAGTTAGCCCTGCTCCCTGCCTTCTGCCTCCATGCTCAATGGCACCCTCTGCTGTTGGAGGAGGCACAGCAGCTGGAGTAAAGGATTAATTCAGCTGGGTTCATCCCAGGGGCTCTCCCAGAGAACCTCACACCCCACCCTACCCCACCATCCCTCCACCCCTCCCAGCCATCCTGCTGCCCCTGGAGCCCCATGAAGGATACTGCCTCTTTTCTGGGAGACATCTTCTCAGCCTAGTCCAGAGATTCAGGGGCTTGGGGAGGGCAGGTTGGGAGGAAGGCACGGCCAGGGCAGCCGTACACTCGTAGGCTGACCAGATACACAGGGCAGGATGAAACGAGGAGAAGCAGCATGGGAGACAGGTTGGGAGAAGGAATGGGGTAGAAATCGCAGAACCAAAGTATGTCTTTGCTGATTGGAACTAACCCCCGGCCCCCACCTGAGACGGCTTCAGCCTCCCCTTCAGAACCAACACCTCGACTCTCTGTGAAATAAACCATGCCTCTGTGGAAACGGCCTGCCCTCAGGTCCAGTCGACCAGGCATCCGCAGGGGTGCTGTGGGCCGAAGATGGTGGGCTGGGTCCATCCTTGTTTGCAGAGACTCTGGCCCTGGCCTGGGGCCAGTTCTTCCTCTCTGACCTGTGCACCACTAGGTCTGTCCCTAGTCATTCACCCAGGCCACTATCTGCCCCTCCTTCCCAACCAAAGGCCGTTTAATTCCACACAGGGGAGAAGTGCAGCTCACCCAGAATGCCACAGAGGCCAAGCTTCTGGGATCTGGAGGGCAGTGTAGACAAGGCCCTGCAGTCTCCGTGGGCACCAACCACGGAGGGGTTTACACCTCGTCTTCCATCCCTGCTTCCCTCCAGGAAAGGGTGGGGGTCAGGGGGCAAGAGGAGCCATCAGGCCAGCATTCGAAAGCGCTTTTGCTCTAGGGACGCCTCCCCTAAATTTTTTAAATTATGTATCCCATCTTGCATGTTTTTAAGTTGACATCTAATATTTTTCCATAAGTTTTAAAACTTGCAAGAGATGTAATTTCTGGCATTTGGTAAATATTTACATTTTAAAATAAAACTGTCACAACGCTTTATATCACACAGAATTCAAACACAACAGTGATTTAATACCTACTCTGACCTATTTAAAAAACACAACCCGCTCTTTTTTAACAGTTGGAAATTTTACCTTGTTCCTTTTCTCTTTTATTTATTTTTTTAGAGTGTGAATTAATTAATTAATTTTTTCCCCCAAAGCCCCAGTAGACAGTTGTATGTCATAGCTGCACATCCTTCTAGTTGCTGTATGTGGGACGCAGCCTCAGCATGGCCGGAGAAGCGGTGCGTCAGTGCGCACCCAGGATCCGAACCCGGGCCGCCAGCAGCGGAGCGCGCGCACCCAACCGCTAAGCCACGGGGCTGGCCCCTTTTCTCTTTGAATTTGCATCATCTTCATCCTATTTCTCTTATAGAATTTTATATGAATGCAGTATTTTTTATGGCAGTCTTTTATTGCTCACCTTATCATACTTCTCTGCCACAAAATATATTTAGAAATTGACATTGAAATATTTAATTTCCTAGTTCAAAAGGTTCTAAGGGTTTTTTAAAAAGTCTTCTGTATTGAGTTATTGTAACTATTTTTTGATATAAAATATAGTATCCAATTGATTAAAACAACAGAGATACCAAGTTTTAATAAGTGTTAAACCTAAAAAGGAAAATTAATTGAAAACACATCTCAATGAAACGGATAGGAATTTAATTGCTCATGAATCTATGGATGAATATTTATTGCTAGAATGAATCAGGACTCAGCATCATTTATTTTTAAAAATTTTTAAAGCTCTACATGCTGAGAAGCCTTTTCACATAAAGCAGCAGATGTCACACAAATAAGTAGATGTCACTCAATTCTCCAAACTTTAGAGATGTATGCCAAAAATTGCATAGTGAGCTACCATCAAAAATGATCTGTCAGCTGGCCACTTTAGTCCTCTTTAAATTTGGCTGAAAGAAATGAATTGAGAATCATCAGACTTGCCAAGGATTTTGCTGCCCCGGGCATGCGCTCATTCAATTTCTCAGCACATGGGCACCTGTGTGCCTGCTGGCACTGGGTCTGGGCCGGGCTGGGGTTAAGCGCTGGGCAGCGCACCAGAGTGAGACGCGGCTGGGTGAGCCCCGCTTCACTCTTGTCCAGCAGGAGGGTGGTGGAGCGCCCACTCTGCGCTTTCCCACAAGACAGAACTCAAGTGTTATGGAAAGTCTTCCTGTGCACGTACATAAAGAATTGTAATGGCTGCTTCCATTAGCATCATTGGGGGCTCTTGTAGAGCATGAAGCTACAAATGGCTCGGCCCCAAGCGGCCACTTGATTGCTCTACCGGCCGGAAGACACTGAGCGCTCATCAGAGCAGAACCCAGGGCTCCGCAGAGCCTCAGCGCCAAGTCCCACCACTCATCACTGCTCCTCAGATGCCGCACCCGGCTCGTTACCCTGCTGACCCTGCTCTCTGAGGGCCTGCCGTGAAGAGCATCCAAGTCGCTAACCTTTTTTCAGCAGGCAGTTTGACCTGCTCCCTCTCCAGTTTGGAGGAGGCCCCTCCTTGGCCCCACGCTGATCCTGCCTCCCCTCATTACTGGGGACCCTGGCCATGTCCCCTGCGGAGATCTGACCCTGAAATGCCACCAGAGCCATTAGGCCCTCTCTCTGCGTCCCCCACTTGTTAGCCTCGTTAGGCACCTGTTCTTCGCAGCCAAGCCAGTCCTCGTTAGCGTCTGCTTCAGCACAGGCAGCCCCTGGCTGAGCTGGCCTTCCTGGGAAGTGGCCTCATGAGCAGACTCTCCTCTTTTGCTGGCAAGTTCCAGCATCCAGACCCCTCGGGCCCTGAGGCTCTCCTGTTTAACCCTTTCACCCCCACCCCTCGATTTATAAAGCTGAAGAAGACTTGAGCTCACAGGGTATTCCTCACACCAGTCGCTGGCCCCACTCCCAGTGACAGACCACAGACAGAGCCCTGACCCCAGCACGGCTCCAAGCCCCAAGTCCATCATCAAAGTGGGGCCATAAGGTGCCTGCTGCGGTAGGAGCCAGTAAGTGACAAACAGGCCAGCAGGAGTGGCAGGTGCTGGAGCATCTGTGGGATGGGGAGTGAAAGATGAGGAGGACATTTCCTTCCCTGAGGCCCCGGCTGGGAGGCTCTGTGGTGGAGGTGCTACTAGAGGGCTGAAGCCTCAAGACCCCCGGTTTCCTGTGGAGGAGGTTAACTAGCAGCAGAAAAGTAAATGGACTTAAAGTGGAGTTAAGACATTCGCAGAAACTGACCACCAACACGTAGACTTGGGTAGAGGCAGAGACACACACGGAGGCTCACAGACGTGGAGGCAGACACTCCTGGGGCCAGAGGGAGGCCCAGATGGACAAACAGAGGCTCCCAGGGACACGCCAAGGTGGACCCGGAGACCAGCTGCACAGGCGTCCACCAGTTACTCACTCCCCATTTACTGAGCACCACTGTGCGCAAGGTATGGAAAAAATACTATGAAGAAGACAAGGGTCTTGTTTTCAAGAAACTCAAAATCTAGTTGGGAAGCAACAGCTCCCAAAACAGTACAAGGTAAAAGCAGGAAAAAGGATTTGTGCTCTGCGTCTCTACCTGGGTGGGTCTCTCAGCATCCATTTCTACCTGTCCTGGTGGGGCGAAGGGAGTCAGGCCTGAGGACTGGAAACGAGTCAGCTTCTGCAGTCTGCACCTGCCTTCTCCACATCTCTGAGCCCACGCCCACAGTGGCCCCCAGACAGATGAGGTTTATGGGATGCAAGAACCTCAGCCGCCCTCCCCCATTTCTTCCCTACTTCCCACCATCCAGGCCTCAGAGACAGACAGAACTGGGAAAGGAGCCCAGTGTTTGCCGCTCGTACTTCCTGAGCATCTTCAGAGCCCCGTGGCAGACGGGGCTGCATGTGTGGTGAGGCAGCTGGATGAGAAGCGGGCTGTCACAGGAGAGACAGGTGAAGGGCAGACTCACAACAAGTCGTCCCCTTCACAGGTCTGAGGCGGCCTGGGGCATGTCTGGGGGTACCAAGGGGAGTCCTTACCCAGAGTGACATTTCAGCCAGGGAGCCTGGCTAGGGGCCCACTGCCCTGAGAACACACCTGGGTGTCACATTGGAACCAGCTGGATTACTCATTGACAGCAGACGTTGGGAAGCTTGATTTCCAGACTGGGTGGGATCCAGGAATCTGCACTTTTTACAAGCCCCCAAGTGATTCTGTTGCTGACTGGTGTGGGAGCCACTGAACAAGGAAACATCTCCTGTCTCTTCTTCTACCACACACACACACTTGGGTACTGCAGAAAGTGAAAGTGAGTGACCTGCCTTTCTGGAAACCTCAAAGGGAAGGCAGCTGTAGCAGGAGGGAAAGAGGCAGGATTAAAGCATGTAAATTTATTCATCAATACGCTCAGTATGGTCTCCAGGCTCTGCCCCTGAGGTGCCACTAATTCTCCTGAGGGGACAGCCCCACTTAGAGATGTATTTAGCAGGAGGACCAGGTAGAGGGTGGACTGAGATCACTGCCCTGTGGACTGAGTTTCCTCCAGGTTTTCCTGTCAGGGATTTCTTTCCTTACAGCTGAAGGCCCTCCCACAGAGCTGTAGCACGCCTCCCCCACCACAGAACCATTACAGTGGCCTCCATCTGGCAAATTCTGTCCATCCTACAGGACCTGATTCAAAGAGCCTCTTTCAGGAAGCCTTCCTACCAGCATCTGTCTAATTTAATAATGAATGCCTAAAAAGCACCAGGCAGAAGAGAAATAAGCTTCAGTAAAAGGCTTTCTACCCCAAAAGGTCTATTCAAAAAT